GGTGCAACGCGAAGAAGCCCAAGATGAGGACGGAATCAGCCGGATTAGGCGGTACTAAGCCGAATTCTGCCAGACTAGACCCAAGGAAAGACTAGCACCGATGCTGAATTCGACCTTCCAAGAAATGCAACCGAAGTCGAGTTTGGCACATACAAGAGAGGGGAAGGCAAGAATGACTGAGCAAATGATCATTGGAAAAATGCTGATAATACACGTTCGTCGTTGACTGTCTGACCATGGTTGGCCCAGAGCAGAATGCCCCTCCTTCGCAAGCAGCTCATCCACATGATCGCTACTCGTAAAACCACATTAGATTTGTATCAAATGTGCCTCGCCACGTGGTTCCCATACTTCTGGATGCGCCAACATGACATCTGTATTTGTGTCGTCAGAATGGTCACAACTACCCTGGTGGCTCTCACTGCCGCTACAATCGCTCCGAGAGCCCTTACACACCAGTCCTCCTCAAGGAACGCTGCACTTCTGTATTGACCATGGTGCCAATGAAGCATTGTCCCTACAGCCCCAGAGGGAAACAAGCTATAGTCGTCGTCGCGACTACTGTCACAGTCATCACCGTCGTCGTCATCATGTTCATCGCCATCGGCAACGTCATTCACAATAGACCAAAGCAGATATTGAAGCACAGGTCAGTGTCTGCTACGAGCGCTTACACCTGCCGATGAATCGCAACCACCATCATCATCATCATCATCATCCTCATCATCATCAGCATCATCATCATCATCAGCAGCATCATCATCAGCATCAGCATCATCACCACCACCACATTCATCATCATCGTCATCATCATCATCATCGTCGTCATCATCAGCAGCAGCATCATCGTCATCGTCATCGTCATCGTCATCGTCATCATCAGCATCATCATCCTTAGTACTGTCGTGATCTCGTCATCGTCATCAGCACTTGCACAGAACATGCACTCTGGGCCACTACTCCTCTGACCTTCCTCCGACACCGTACACCATCACCACTATCAGCAACACTAGCACGTACTGAAACATGCCGCCACCACCATCACCATCATCGCATCCCACGTCCGAACGACTCCTCTCCTCTCCCCTCCTCCTTCCCCCCTCCTACGACACCCAGGAGGCTGCGGAGACAGGACAAGGGGAGCAGGGAGAGGGAAGCCTCCGCCGTCAGACCTCTACCGCGGGGGCTCACGACTGGCGAGCCCCCACACCCGGGCTGCTGTGATTTTTGCTGCGCCTGACAGGGCGGCATGTGAACACTGCTCAGACTGTGCTTGAGAGGTTCTGGTCTCCAACCCTGTGGCCCCCTATGGGGGGCCCCAGATGCTCCCTCTCCTGCCGGGTCGATCCGATCTCCTCCCCTACCCTACCCTCCCGTCCCTTCCCGCCGTCTGCGACACCGGCCAGCAGTACGCCTGGATCGGCGTCGGAGATGCGAATCCTCCCGGCCGCGAACACGTGTCGGCTCCGGGCGGGCACTCTGCAGCAGAGTTCGGCGCAGGGTGATGGTCGTGATCCCAGACGTGCGATGTCCTGATTGCTTCAATACGGAATCCCCTAGAAGTCCCGACCCTTTCCCTGGGACTGGCTTCTCATCGCATCGCATCACAAGCGGCACGGAGGCTGTCTGAACTATCACGGGGCGCCTTCACACCTCGTAGCAAGCATGTGGACGCCTGCTGCTCAAAGCTGTGGCCGAAAAAATTGGCTTCATCATGGTGAAATCCACGAGTTGACGCTCTGGCCGAGGGGCTCTGCAGCAGCACTCAGGATGCCGCGCGGCACCGGCTTTTCATCCTGAGTCGTTTTTGACGGCCCCGGGGCCTTGGAAGGGCCCCCAGAAGCCGAAAGCGACCAAAAGCCTCCCGTCCTGACCCTTGTCGGGACGCGGACATGCCTGGGATGAGGAGCGGCAGCCGCGGCAGATGCCCCCCCACCCCAGAGAAGCCAGGCCTCTCGCGAGAGCGTTTCTCCTTATATCTTTTCCCGATGGGGGTACCGGTCCTGGCCCCCCAGCCTCTCCTGAGACGAAGCCAGGACAAGGACACAGTCGGACAGGGATAAATCGGGAATCTGTGAGATTCGGCGGTTTTCGAACATGAATCAAGCGCCGCGGCCTTCTCAGAGCGTTCTGGACGCTCCGAGAGCGTTCCGGAACTCCCTGGGAGGGATGTATCCTTGTCCCAGCCCCGTCCAATCTCACCCCCCAAGTAACGTCACCATTGGTGCTGACCTCCGGGTGTCTCTGGCTATTCCTAGACATTCCCAGACTGCGCTGGCGCGAAACGTGACGCCACCAGCCCCCGTGGGAACTCCCGCTATCGTTAGACCAAGGCAGAATCGACACAAAATCAAACCGATGTGAATCGAGGGCCTCTGAGAATCGGCGGGTTTGGGGGATGTCTCGGGAGCCGCGGCCGTTTCAGAGCGATCTGGAACGCTCCGATATCTAGTTTCTAGGCCAGTCCGATATCTATATATATATACGTATGCATGCAAGCATGTATGTATGTATGCATGTATGTATGTATGTATGTACGTATGTATGTATGTGTGTATGTGTGTATGTGTGTATGTGTGTATGTGTGTATGTATGTATGTATATATGTATGTATGTATGTATGTATGTATGTATGTATGTACGTATGTATGTATGTATGTATGTATGTATGTATGTATGTATGTATGTATGTATGTATGTATGTGTGTATGTGTGTGCATGTATGTGTACGTTTGTATGTACTTATGTATGTACGTATGTATACATGGATGGATGGATGGATGAATGGATGTGTGTATGTACGTATGTATGTATGTATGTATGTATGTATGTATGTATGTATGTATGATGTATGTATGTCTGGCTGTCTGTCTGTCTGTATGGATGCATGCATGCATGTATGTGTGTATGTATGTGTGTATGTGTGAACATGTGTATGCATGTATGTACGTATGTATGTACGCATGTATGTATGTATGTATGTATGTGTAGGTGTATGTATATATGCATATATCTACGTATGTATGCATATGTGTATGTGTATGTGCATGTGTTTGCGTATGTGTATGTGTATGTGTATGTGGATGTGTACGTGTATGTGTATGTGTATGTGTATGAGCATGTGTATGTGGATGTGGATGTGTATGTGTGTATGTATGTGTATGTGTATGTAAATGTGCATGTGTGTATGTATGTGTGTATGTATGTATGTATGTATGGATGTATGGATGTATGGATGGATGGATGGATGGATGTATGTAGTTATTTATGTATGTCTGCCTGTCTGTCTGTATGTATGTACAGATGCCTATATATCTATCTAAAACTATATAGAATTAACCTGGCGAAGGACCCAACCAGATGTACTTGTGAGTGCCGCCGTTGTGAAGAACGCCTTCGGTGGAGCTCACTTCGGGGCCACAGAGCGCGTGAAGGGAGCGCCAAAATGAGGCCGGGCCCCCACGCGGGCGCTGCCGCTGGGGCCACCCGCCGGAGGCGCGGAGGTCAGACGAAACGGGTCACATGCTGATGTAACTCGTTGCGGCTGACAGGCTCCGGGAGAAGGGGGAGAAGACCTGCGGGCGCGGATTTCGGTGGAGCTCCCTGTGGGGCCACGACACGTGTGAGGGGTGTGCCAAAGTGAGGGGGGGGGGGGGGCGGAAAGGGACCGCAGCCACTGGCGCCCTCGGTGCAGCTCCCCATGGGGCCACGGAACGTGTGAGGGGTGTGCCAAAGTGAAGGGGGGTGGCGGCATGCGACCCCAGCCACTGGCGCCATCGGTGGAGCTCCCTGCGGGGCCGCGAAACGTGTGAGAGGCGTGCCGAAGTGGACATGCGGAGGGCAGAGGCAGATGGACGGAGGGAGGAGGGACCGGGAGGAGGAGGAGGAGGAGGAGGAGGAGGAGGAGGAGGAGGAGGAGGTTGATGAGGTGGAGAAGGACGCGAAGGAGGAGGAGGATCCGAGGAGGAGGAGGAGGAGGAAGAGGAGGAGGAGCTCTCTGTGGGGCCGCGACACGCGTGAGGGGCGTGGCGCCGCTCGGGCCGAACCGCGCGAGGCTCCCAGCAGGACGGGGCCGTCCGTGTGCAGGATGGCAGCCAGCCGCCAGGTCGAGGGCCAGAGGGCGAGGAGGAAGGCGGGAAGGAGCGGGAAGGAGGGAGGGGGGAAGGGCGGGGGAGGGGGGAAGGGGGGTGAGTGGGGGTAAGGGGGGAGGGGGGAAGGGGGGAAAGGGCGGGGGGGAGGGGAGGAGAGGGGGAGGGGGGGGAGGAGGGGGAGGGGCGTGGGAGGACGGGGGGCGGGAGGAGGACGAGGAAGGAGGTCCTCCTCGTTCTCCTCCTCCTCTCCTCCTCCTCCTCCTCGCTCCTCTCTCCTCCTCCTCCTCCTCCTCTCCTCCTCCTCCTCCTCCCTCCTCCTCCTCCTCCCTCCCTCCTCCTTCCTCCTCCTCCTCCTCCTCCTCTCCTCCTCCTCCTCCTCCTCCTCCCCCTCCTCCTCCTCCTCCTCCTCCTCCTCCTCCTCCTCCCACGGGAGGCGCGTTCCCCCCTGACGTTGGCCCGGAAGGGTCGGGCCGACGTCTGTCCTTCGGGGGTTCTGAGGAGAAAATCAAGAAGACATCCCGAGCCCACTGGGAACCTGAGGTGGGCGACGTCCTGGCTGCAGCAGGACTAGCAGACCCCTGTCCTCGCCTGCTGCTGGGGGTAAGGCGTTGGACAGGGCAGGGGCAGACGAGGCATAGACAGTATGCGCATGCAGCCACCGTGCTACCATAGGGAACGCTGAGTAAGGAACGAGCGGGTTCTCCTGGCCACGGCGAACCTCGGCCACGAATAGGTTCTCCGACCGAAGTCTAAGGAACGGCCCGAAAACCAGCGCCCCTCCTAAACCCAAAGTGGTCCTTATTTCAACGTCTGGGCTGTACGATAACAACTCTCACGAATAAAAATCGAAGTACATCTCATTCGTCGACTCTGAGCTTCGCAGAATGCCCCAGGGCTCTGCGGCCCAGTCCGGAGGTAAGAAATCATCGTGGGGCACCCGTTGGCAGGTCAATATCGTTTTTGGTGCGCCTACTGTAACGAACGAGTTCAACAGCGGCCAATCGGCATCTCTTCCTCTGCAGTAGACGTGCCATGGCTACTTTGCAACTGGCATGAACACGTGTGCATTCCGCCCACACGCAAAGCATATGGGCATCTGATTTGCATGCAACAGCACCCCGCGGCGTTTGCACCCCCATCGTTGCAACATAGCTGTACTCGTTCGACTACTTCCCAGGTCTAAGTGGGCCTGCTCCCAGGGTGGCCGCGTGAAAGCAGGACACTAGCAACCAGAAGCTGGCGAAGTATGGGCCATCGAGGCCCAGCCTCCCTGTAAGAGATGAGAAGAAATCACGTGTCCCCCTCCGGAAACCCTGAACATGATGATGACGATGATGATGATGGTGATGATGATGATGATGATGAAAATGATGATGGAAATGATGATGAAAATGATGATTAACATGATGATGCTGATGATGATGATGATTATAATGATGATGATGATGATGATGATGATGATGATGATGATGATGATGATGATGATGATGATGATGATGATGATGATGATGATGATGACTAGAATGATTATAATGATGACGATGGTGGTGGTAGTGATAATGATTGCGAGTATTGTCATCATCATGATGATGGTGATGATAATGATGATGATGATAATGCTGCTGGTGATGATGATGAAGATGGTGATGATGATGATGACGATGATGATGACGGTGATGATGATGATGATGATGGTGGTGATGATGCTGAAAATGATGATGAGTATGATGATGGTTGTGATGGTGATGATGCTGATGGTGATGATGATGATGACGACGACGATGGTGATAATGATGATGACGATCATGATGATGTGAGCGCTTTCTCTGTTATCTTCTCAAAAAATATGACGTGATTGAACGGCAGGCTCTACAGGAATTGTCCGACCCTGCATGTATCCTTGCTGGCTAAGCGAGTTGAGCCTAGATACTGGCGGATCTCGAGCAACCGCCGCCGACACGACACATTCTGGCCATTGTTCACGGCCAGCGCCGTTACGACTCAGGAAACCCCAAACCCAAGAAAACTGGCGTCTCACTTTTGCGTGCGTCCGCCGGCTACACGTAAAAGTGACCCCAGACAAGAGTGCCTTGTGGTGCGCGGCTTGAGGGAGGGGGGCGCGACGAGGCCTAGACCAAGCGCGGAAGCCGCCGCTGCAGCTTCGCGCACAGCGATGCGGGTCCCCCCTCGTAGGGAGCCCACAAAGGACGTACGCGCCCGGATATGTACATGAAGACGGCCCCACGATCCGCGAGACCCGCCGCGTGATACAAGTACTCGCGCAATGCGTACTCTCGAAACCAGCGTGGATCTATGCACGTGTACGTCCTTTGCTCGCTCCTGACGTCG